GTTGCATCGCATTGCAAAAATGTGAAAGGCCCTACTTGCAGAATCAGCGGGCGCAAGCGCTAAAATAAGTTTGCTGCACTGTTGCATCAGCAGTGGGCAAATCGTGAAAGAAACCTACGTGCAGATCAGGCGGTCGCAAGCGCTACAATAAAGTTGCTGCACTGTTGCATCGCAGCGTCAAAATCGTGAAAGAACGTACGTGCAGAATCAGCGGGCGCAAGCGCTACAATAAAGTTGCTTCACTGTTGCATGGCAGTGGCAAAATCGTGAAAGAACCTACGTGCAGAATCAGCGGGCGCAAGCGCTACAATCATGTTGCTGCACTGTTGCATCGCAGTGGCAAAATCGTGAAAGAACCTACGTGCAGAATCAGCGGGCGCAAGCGCTACAATAAAGTTGCTGCACTGTTGCATCGCAGCGTCAAAATCGTGAAAGAACGTACGTGCAGAATCAGCGGGCGCAAGCGCTACAATAAAGTTGCTTCACTGTTGCATGGCAGTGGCAAAATCGTGAAAGAACCTACGTGCAGAATCAGCGGGCGCAAGCGCTACAATCATGTTGCTGCACTGTTGCATCGCAGTGGCAAAATCGTGAAAGAACCTACGTGCAGAATCAGCGGGCGCAAGCGCTACAATACAGTTGCTGCACTGCTGCATCGCATTGGCAAAATCGTGAAACAACCTACGTGCAGAATCAGCGGGCGCAAGCGCTACAATAAAGTTGCTGCACTGTTGCATCGCAGTGGCAAAATCGTGAAAGAACCTACGTGCAGAATCAGCGGGCGCAAGCGCTACAATAAAGTTGCTGCACTGCTGCATCGCATTGTCAAAATCGTGAAACAACCTACGTGCAGAATCAGCGGGCGCAAGCGCTACAATAAAGTTGCTGCACTGTTGCATCGCAGTGGCAAAATCGAGAAAGACCCTACGTGCAGAATTAGCGGGCGCAAGCGCTACAATAAAGTTGCTGCACTGCATCGCAGTGGCAAAATCGTGAAAGAACCTACGTGCAGAATCAGCGGGCGCAAGCGTTACAATAAAGTTGCTGCACTGTTGCATCGCAGTGGCAAAATCGTGAAAGAACCTACGTGAATCAGCGGGCGCAAGCGCCACAATACAGTTGCTGCACTGTTGCATCGCAGTGGCAAAACGGTGAAAGAGCCTGTGCAGAATCAGCGGGCGCAAGCGCTACAATAAAGTTGCTGCACTGTTGCATCGCAGTGGCAAAATCGTGAAAGAACCTGTGCAGAATCAGCGGGCGCAAGCGCTACAATAAAGTTGCTGCACTGTTGCATCGCAGTGGCAAAATCGTGAAAGGACCTACGTGCAGAAGAGACGTGATCCGGAGAAGCTGGTCGAGAATGATATTCGCGCGCGAATCCCAAATCCCGAATCCCAAATCCCGAATTTCGAATCCGAGGATGGGGCCATCCCAGTCCCGTGTCCCGTGTCCCGTCTCGAATCCCGAATCCCGAATCCCGAACCCCGAAAATATGATTCGAGTCCCGAATCCCGAATCCCGAATCCCGGAACTGAGCATGGGACCATCCCAGTCCCGAATCCCGCATCCCGAATCCCGAATCCCGAATCCCGAATCCCGAATTTTGAATCTGAGGATGGGGCCATCCCAGTCCCGCATCCCGAATCCCGAATCCCGAATCCCGAATCCCGAATCCCGAATCCCGAATCCCGAATCCCGAATCCCGAATCCCGAATCCCAAATCCCAAATCTGAGGATGGGGCCATCCCAGTCCCGAATCCCGAATCCCGAATCCCGAGTCCCGAAAACGTGAATCCCGAATCCCGAATCCCGAAATTGTGATTCGAGTCCCGAACCCCAAAACCCGAATCCCGAATCCCGAACCCCGAATCCCGAATCCCGAATCCCGAATCCCGAATCCCGAATCTGAGGATGGGACCATCCCAGTCCCGTATCCCTTCCCGAATCCCGAATCCCGAGTACCGAATCCCGAATCCCGACAATGTGATCCGAATCCCGAATCCCGAATATCGCGTCCCGAGTCCCGAATCCCGAATCCCGAATTCCAAATCCCGAATCTGAGGATGGGGCCATCCAAGTCCCGAATCCCGAATCCCGAATCCCGAATCCCGAATCCCAAACCCCGAACCAAGAATCCCGAATCCCGAAAATGTGATTCGAGTCCCGAATCCCGAATCCCGAATCCCGAAAATGTGATTCCCGAATCCCGAATCCCGAAAATGTGAATGGAGGCCCGAATCCCAAATCCCGAATCCCGAAAATATGATTTAATCCCGAAATGTCATTAAATCCCGAATCACGAAATTGGCAGCGACCTCCAGATCGCCACTCGTGCAGAATCAGCGGGCGCAAGCGCTACAATAAAGTTGCTGCACTGTTGCATCGCAGTGGCAAAATCGTGAAAGAACCTACGTGCAGAATCAGCGGGCGCAAGCGCTACAATAAAGTTGCTGCACTCTTGCATCGCAGTGGCAAAATCCTGAAAGAACCTACGTGCAGAATCAGCGGGCGCAAGCGCTACAGTAAAGTTGCTGCACTGTTGCATCGCAGTCGCAAAATCGTGAAAGAACCTACGTGCAGAATCAGCGGCGCAAGCGCTACAATACAGTTGCTGCACTGTTGCATGGCAGTGGCAAAATCGTGAAAGAACCTACGTGCAGAATCAGCGGGCGCAAGCGCTACAATAAAGTTGCTGCACTGTTGCATCGCGTGGCAAAATCGTGAAAGAACCTACGTGCAGAAGCAGCGGGCGCAAGCACTACAATGAAGTTGCTGCACTATTGCATCGCAGTAGCAAAATCGTGAAAGAACCTACGTGCAGAATCAGCGGGCGCAAGCGCTACAATAAAGCTGCTGCACTGTTGCATCGCAGTGCCAAAATCGTGAAGGAACCTACGTGCAGAATCAGCGGGCGCAAGAGCTACAATAAAGTTGCTCCACTGTTGCATCGCAGTGGCAAAATCGTGAAAGAACCTACGTGCAGAATCAGCGGGCGCAAGCGCTACAGTACAGTTGCTGCACTGTTGCATCGCAGTGGCACAATCGTGAGAACCTACGTGCAGAATCAGCGGGCGCAAGCGCTACAATAAAGTTGCTGCACTGTTGCATCGCAGTGGCAAAATCGTGAAACAACCTACGTGCAGAATCAGCGGGCGCAAGCGCTACAATAAAGTTGCTGCACTGTTGCATCACAGTGGCAAAATCGTGACAGAACAGTGGCAAAATCGTGAAAGAACCTACGTTCAGAATCAGCGGGCGCAAGCGCTACAATAAAGTTGCTGCACTGTTGCATCGCAGTGGCAAAATCGTGAAAGAACCTAGGTGCAGAATCAGCGGGCGCAAGCGCTACAATAAAGTTGCTGCACTGTTGCATCGCAGTGGCAAATTGGTGAAAGAACCTACCGTGCAGAATCAGCGGGCGCAAGCGCTACAATAAAGTTGCTGCACCGTTGCATCGCAGTGGCAAAATCGTGAAAGAACCTACGTGCAGAATCAGCGGGCGCAAGCGCTACAATGAAGTTGCTGCTCTGTTGCATCGCAGTGGCAAAATCGTGAAAGAACCTACGTGCAGAATAAGCGCGCGCAAGCGCTACAATGAGTTGCTGCACTGCACTGTTGCATCGCAGTGGCAAAATCGTGAAAGAACCTACGTGCAGAATCAGCGGGCGCAAGCGCTACAATACAGTTGCTGCCCTGTTGCATCGCTGTGGCAAAATCATGAAAGAACCTACGTGCAGAATCAGCGGGCGCAAGCGCCACAATAAAGTTGCTGCCCTGCATCGCAGTGGCAAAATCGTGAAACAACCTACGTGCAGAATCAGCGCACGCAAGCGCTACAATAAAGTTGCTGCACTGTTGCATCACAGTGGCAAATTCGTGAAAGAACATACCGTGCAGAATCAGCGTGCGCAAGCGCCACAATAAAGTTGCTGCACTGCATCGCAGTGTCAAAATCGTGAAAGAACCTACGTGCAGAATCAGCGGGCGCAAGCACTACAATGAAGTTGCTGCACTGTTGCATCGCAGTGGCAAAATCGTGAAAGAACCTACGTGCAGAATAAGCGCGCAAGCGCTACAATAAAGTTGCTGCACTGTTGCATCGCAGTGGCAACATCGTGAAAGAACCTACGTGCAGAATCAGCGGGCGCAAGCGCTACAATAAAGTTGCTGCACTGTTGCATCGCAGTGGCAAAATCGTGAAACAACCTACGTGCAGAATCAGCGCACGCAAGCGCTACAATAAAGTTGCTGCACTGTTGCATCACAGTGGCAAATTCGTGAAAGAACATACCGTGCAGAATCAGCGTGCGCAAGCGCCACAATAAAGTTGCTGCACTGCATCGCAGTGTCAAAATCGTGAAAGAACCTACGTGCAGAATCAGCGGGCGCAAGCGCTACAATGAAGTTGCTGCACTGTTGCATCGCAGTGGCAAAAACGTGAAAGAACCTAGTTAGTTTCTGAATCGGCTCGCAGTCGGGTTGCTGAACAATGACTTTGTGCCTTGGGCATCTCAGGTAATTGCTCGAGCTTTCTTGTCGCGGGCTTGCTTTCTGGCTTGGCGCTAAAGGAGTGTTCACGGTGGTTTTCTTGTGCCTTCAGCCGCACCGTAGGCAAAATATGGAAGACCTTGAAATGTCCGTGGAAAGGCCAAGCTGGTTAGATGATACGTGAACACATGAGATTCCATTGCATGAAATCCCGCTGGAACATGCGCTCAAACTCCCGGCTTCGTTTTGACTTGGCATCGTTACCAGGTAAGCTTTCATTGGCTGTGAGACCTGTGCTGAAACACCTTTGTCAGCAAAAGGCCTTGGCCTGCGCATGGTATCAAACTCAATACCGCTTGCGAGACTTCGCACGTGTGAGGCTGGCTCGAAAGAACACCCACCCCTTTCTTTGAGGGGCACTTTCATTTCGGCACGCAAAGAACACGCCTTGCTATTCTATACAGGTGCAAGGTGCAAACGTGCGTGCCAGTGGGCTTTTCATTCACAGCGGCTCAGCGCGCGGATATAGTGCTCGCATGAGGCACTGACGCGCCCGGCTCTGCCAGCTGCGTTACCAGACCTGGGGAAGCATCAAAAGCCAGATGGCCCAAACAAACGCCTCAACCAAGGCAGACACAGTCGCACAATGCCTTCGCCACGATGTGATTGCTGCTCCGCACCACCACCTCAAACTGCATTTCTTTTTGACCCATCCGAATCAACGCTTCAACCACATCTGCTCACGTGTTTGCTCTTGTCAGTTCAGCTAAAGAATGTTCCAAAATACACCCGTGGGAAAACATGCAGCATCCTGGCTGCCCAATTGTCTCAGATTGATCAATGCCCAAACGCCTCATCATCCTACACACTTGCCAAGAGCATGCTGAAGAAGCTATGAAGCGTTCGAAATTTTCACCAAGCTCACACACCACGCTTACTGAAGGATGGCTGGAGAATTGGCATTGTGTAGGGGCGCTGCCCTGGCTTTACCAGTGAAACGGCCACTTCCCACCTGCAGCAAGGCTTCCGAGGCTCACCCATACACACTGCACACTTTTTCTCAATTGACCCGTTCTTCTTCCCTTTCAGGCCTGGCCTCCACTCTCATAAGAGAAAGACCACCATCCTTGTCGTGTCCCGATGGAAGACCGTCACCTTCTTCTCGCTCCAATTCTCCAAGACATATTATTTCTCTCTCTCTCTCTCTCTTTTCTTCACTCTTTGCAGAGTAGATCTCAGTGCCCCGAGGCACCTCGAAAGTCGTGATTAGCACCATCGCCTAGCATAGAGACCTCGGCGCTTGCAGCTGCCAAAATTGCGCTCTCTCGCATCTAACATCAGCATCGCTTGCAGCCCAGGTCCAATTGCGAGCAGTTGCACGAGAATTCATGAGAAATTAGCCTCCTCAAAGGCATTTGGAAGGAAGCAGCTACACGGTGAAGCGGGATTTCTGGGAGGCTATATCGCAATATGATTCAATTTGCAAAATCAGTGTCATGCGAGGCGATGCAGTCTGACCTGATGCCTGTGGCAAGGTTGAGCGCAGCACTAGCACAAAGTTGTCCGCGTTGCTGTCGACGCCGTGATGCCTCGGGTCGGCATGAGAACTTCTCAAACAAGCTTAGCGCAATGTGCAACGAAACAAACCAGTACAAGTCCGCCCGCAACTGCATTGCTGATTTCAAACAAGCTGCAGTCTGAACGCTCCACCAAACACAATGCACCTGACAAGTGAAATCGGCCACAACTCACTCTATTTTGCACATTGCCTTGCAATGTTGACCAACGGGCCGCGGAGTCGCTCAGCTAGATGCACAACACTTGTCACCTCTACAAAGGCAGAAGCGCCATGCAAGCTAGTGGTATCAACACTTCTCAGCTCTTCATTGCTTGTTCAGCCTCGCTCAAGATGAAGTTTTGTTGCCTTGCAGTTGGCAACCAGAGATGTGTCGGGTTAAAAGTACGCTGCTTTGGGGCCTCCAGAAACGGAAGAAATCCTGCTGGGACAGATCTTTGCCGACCTTGCGTTGCTTTTGGACATGCAAAGTTGAGCTGGGCGCACGTGGAGGGTCAGTAGGAGCAGCACCATGAACTTGGGAAGGATGATGGGGAACTTCAGTTGTATCCTGAAGCAAACAATTTTGTCGGCTTCTCAAGGTCTCAAGGTCGAGATCACGATGTCATTGAATTCGACTCCACACCTTCTTGGGCTGGCATCTGGCCTGGCATGGTTTCTACAAATGTGTCAGAAACAATGAAAGTCATGACAGCCGTTAGGTAAGACGTTGTGAAGAAAGACAGGTCCATGGGCGCTGCGTCGTGACCAAAGAAATCCAGCAAAGGCCCGTTTGCGCTTGATGGTCCGAGGATGAGTCCGGCCTGCCTTTTCTGAATGGTTTTGGTTTTGGAAGGGGTCCAGTCTGAGCCCTCACCCTGCCCAACGTCCAGCGTTACTTTTCGTGCTCCCAAAACGGTTTGGGTCTGAAATTAAGTTTCAGGCAGCGGCATGGCGGCGTGGCCTTCACGAAAGGCCCTCAGCAGCCATCCGCCAGCCTTGATCACCGGTTGAGGCTTGTGAGCCGGGCTTTGGCCCACGTCCAAGAGGACCCGCGCGCGCAGATAAGATGAAGACAAGAGCGCGGACCGGAGAAAGCAGCGAACGCTCTCTCTGCGCAGGCGCGCGGCCGAAAGCAGTGCAGCGCGTGTCCACTACAAGGTTGTTTGCCTTGCGGATCGGACGCTAAGCGCCGAAAGGCTGAGTAAACACCAAGGACCAGGATGTGCCCGGCAGTCAGGGTAATAATCACATTTTCTGTGGCGAGTTAATCCGGAGTTCGGATCGATCCAAGTCAATTGAAAAGGGCAACCAAGGCTTTCACAAGTCCACAGACGCACCAGACTCGCGCAGCAACAGCGATTTGCCCCAAGCTTTAGCGGGCGGAGCCAGGGACGCGTCACCCACGCCGTGTAGCAGCGGGAGAAGGGCGGTCACCGCAGAATAAAAAGGCTGTCATGGTCAAGCCGGCTGAGGTGTACAGAAGCTTGATCTTGCTGTTGCAAGCCACTCGAGAAAACTGACGGCAAAACCAGCATTGGCCAAAGACAAGGTGAGGTCGGGCGGCTCGGAAAAAAGTGAGCCATCCGCATCCGCAAAGGTGTTGTCCTGGACTGCTACCCACAGGCTGTCTGACCAGCCGGCGCCGGAACATTGATGTTGGGCCAGCCAGCTGGCTGCACGCACAAGGTCATGATGTCGGCCGGGAACTGGATCATGGCGCATGAAGCCGATCTGGTCGAAGGTGGAGCAGATGTCGTAGCGGTCGCTCTTGAGGTAGATGTTTCGGCAAAGCACCAGGGGAGTCATTCCAACGACTGCGCGCGGACACGATGCTGCCAGGTGTCCCGTAGGCACAGCGCGTGCCCCGGATGAGGTTGTCTCGAAGCATCAGACAGACATGCACGGACAGCTGAGGTGGGCGAGGGTCTCGAAGAGATCAACTGGAAGGTTTATGCGGCCTGCAGGGGCCGGAGAACCGCGCCCCGTCATGCTTTTGCGCGCAAGACTCACGCTTGTTTTGGCCACTCATAAGCCCGAAACGCAAGTTTTCTGCGTAATTCGTGCAGGAATTTGCGCACGCGCTGCTGCAATTTGTAGCATATTACACCCGTTTTTTACGCGTCAACGCGCCCGTCCACGTGCTGCACGGGTACTTGCGCACATGCTGGCACACATGTTAGCGCGCGCATCCACGCGCTGGGGGGGGGGGGGTTTTCTGGCCGTCCTCGCGCTGCGTGGCTGCCTGTGTTGCACGCTGGCACGTGCGGTAATACGCCCGTCCACGCGTGGCACGGTTACTTGCGCGCATGCTGGCACATATGTTGACGCGCCCGTCCACGCGCTGCTTGGTCACACGCGCACACGCTCGGTCACACGCGCGCACGCTGGCACATATGTTGACGCGCCCGCCCACGCACTGCACGACCACACACCCACACGCTGGCACATATGTTGACGCGCCCGTCCACGCACTGCACGGTCACACGCGCACACGCTGGCACATGTAGTGACGCGCTGGTTCACGCGCTGCACGGTAGCACGCGCGCACGCTAGCACATTGCGCGACCGTCCGCGCGCCGCACGCTCACACGCGCACACGCTGGCGCATATGCTGACGCTCCCGCGCGCTGCACAGTTACATGCGCACGTGCTGGCACATATGTTGACGCGCCCGTCCACGCGCTCCACGGTCACACGCGCACACGCTGGCGAATGTGTCTGCGCGCCCGCCCGCCCACGCGCTGCACGACCACACGCGCACATGCTGGCACATATGTCGACGCGCCCGTCCACGCGCTGCACGATCATGCGCGCACACGCTGGCTCATACGTCGACGCTCCCGTCCACGCGCTGCTCGACGCGCCCATCCACGGACTGCGCGTTCACACGCGCACATGCCGGTACATGTGTTGATGCGCCAGTCCACGCGCTGCACGGTCACACTCGCGCATGCTAACACATATGATGACGTTCTACATCATGACTGGGGCTCCCGAAATAGAAGGTGAGTTGCGTGGCAGGATTGGGCCCCGTCAAAAGGCAAAGCCTTTGGCACGGCCACCATCGGCCCGAGCCCGGGGTCCAAATCCCACTATCTCTAGCGGCCCAAGCGCATCGCCCCTTCAAGGTCTGCGTGTTTGAGAACTGGCTTGAGTGGCCGACGCTCCTGGGCGCCTATACGCCACCGCGTCGCCCTGTTGCGCTGGATGGGAGACGATCACCAAACTAACTGCGGACAAGAGCCATGGCTTGGCTGACGGCGTTCAAGAGCGTGCGCGCGCACGGGCGACTAGAGCGGCGCGCGCCGCTGGGAATTGGAGAACTGGCTGTCGCCAGCAGGGTTGGTGGCAGCGAGCGTCCATGTAAAATGCTTTCTTAAAGACACGCCCCGCGCAAGGTCTACGCAAGTCCTTGCGGGATCAGGCGTTGCGTCCGAAACTGCGCCTCTCTCGGACACCAGCAACGCTGTTGGGCGCAGCCCAAACGGTTACAAATCTCGGACGAAGGACGCAGGGCGGCTCACACACACAAATACACACACACACACCAAAAAAAGCCATGCCCAAGCATAGCTGGCACACCCGACAGAAACCGACAGAAACCAACAGAAAGCAACAGGAGTTGACAAAAAACGGCAAAAGCCGCCAAAACACTTCAGACAGGCCATGGGCTACAACTTCTTCATAAACCAAACCTTTGAAAAACACTCTACACAACAACAAGAGAGCAACAAACACAACAGCAAAGGTCTGCAAAGGTTAGACTTGGGCATTCATACATTACACACACACAATACACACAATACATGACATCAGCCGCAAACGCTGTGAGTCCTGCCTCTGACGAGCGGCGACATTTGACGCGACCCGCGCGCTAGATCTAGTCAACTGCAACAAACACCCAGTCAGTCAGCGCTTCGCGTGTGTGTGCATGGGTGTGTACGTATATATGTATGCGTGTATACATATATGCGTATGTATGCATGTGGGTGCATGTATGTGTGTAGGTATGTGTTAAAGTGCTGCCAAGAAATGCAATGTAATGTATGTAATGCAATGTAATGCAATGTAATGTAATGTCAGGTCATGTAATGTACTGCTTTTGCAAGGAAATGTCACGTAACGTTTAGTCATGTGCGTACGTATGTATGTGTGCAATGTATTTATGTATGTGTGTAGGTGCGTGTCAATGCGTGCATGCATGTGTTTGCCACGCAAGGTGATGCACAGCAATGCGTGACATGCAATGTTACATGAGTATGTATGTATGTATGTATGTATGTATGTATGTATGTATGTATGTGTGTATGTATGTATGTATGTATGTATGTATGTATGTATGTATGTATGTATGTATGTATGTATGTATGTATGTGTGTACGCATGCGTGTGTGTGTACATACGTATGTGGATATGAATGCACGTAGGTGCGTGTGTGTGTGTATGTATGTGTGTACGTATGTATGTATATATGTATGTATGTATGTATGTATGTATGTATGTGCGCACGTATGTATGTATGTGTGTATGTAAGTTGATATGTAAAGATGCACGTACGCATGCATGTGTGCACACATGCATGTGTGTACGTATGAGTGCATGAATGCACGTGCGCGTGTGTATGTGTGCGTGTGTTTACGGGTGTGCATTTGCGTATGCGTGCATGTACGTGTGCCTGTAGATGCACATGTCAATGTAGATGTAGATGCAAACGCACGCGAAACGTACGCCTGTGTGTATGTCTGTAATGTCATGTGCGCAGTGTGACGTATGTATGTACATATGTATATACGTAGGTCTGTGTGTATGCGAGTGTATGTACGCATGCGCGAATGCGTGTGTATGCAAAGCGCGTATGGAGTAGCCATCATGACACACACCTTGCGGCTCATGGCTGAGAGCTGCTCCGACAGCTCTTCTTCTCCTTCACGTAGTTCTTGACCCCGGTGCCTCTCATCTCTTCCGACTCCACCGAGTACTCCGTCTCCTCTCCTTGATTCAGGACATTTTTCATCTTCATCTCGGACTCCAAACCTGCGTGCCGTTGCTGGTTTCCGGGATGTTTTGCCAAGGTTTCGGATCCGACCACCTTGCCAAGAACCTCCTTCTCGAAAATGACAAATCATCCTCGCCAGGCGGTAGACTAAGGCAACTGCCTGAGGCAGCGAGGCCGCCAATGACCCAAAGGCATCCGCTCATGGCAAAGAAAGCAACATGAGCAGGCCAGGGGACTTGAGCCAAAATGGCACATGTCCCGCCACCTCCCCGGCCTCAAATGTCATGCACTCCGCAAGCTATGTTCATAGGTTTTACGACAACAAGGAAAGAAGGAAAGAAGGACATGCGGAAATAAATAAATAAATCTATAAATACATAAACAAATAGATAAATAAAAGAATTGGGCTGGACGAGTGTAAACCATCAAGCCTTAGGAGAGAGGCCGTCCCGTCATGGCCAGTAAAACAGGACAGGCAGGCAGAAGAAATTGCAACCGCAGCCAAGGAGGTTCAGCAAAAGGCTCCAGAAGCGTTACTTGCAGTCGCTGCCTCAACCAAATTGCAACAAGCTGCCTTCGCCGGAATCGCACAACCCAGACTCCACCATCAGGGCCCCAGCACCACCTGCTCGTCTGCTTCCAAATGCTGGATGAGCGGAGATGCCACGACTCTTAAGGCCTGCTCCTGGATTCATTGACATCAGACTCCATATGCTGGATGCACTTGCGGGGGGCACGTGAAGTTTACAGGGAAGTCAAAGCCAGCTTTGCTAATTTAAACATGTGTGTGTGTGTGTGTGACCCTGCTTTTATCAAGTTGACCTCCGAACAAGGCACATGCTTTTTGGGACTTGGGATGCTGTTTGCTCCTGAATGTGCAGTAAAGGGGCTGAGGACTGCCTTCGCTGGTCCGGGGGAGCCAGCGAGAATTGTGCGGCCGAATGTGGGTTGGTGGGAAATGGCCCGGGGAGAAGGGGAGAACGGAGGTGCAAACGCCTACGCGCGGGAGCTGTGTTCGTTAGCACGTGAATCGTGCTCACAGGGTTGCATTTCGCAACGCTAGCAAAAGGGATGCCAGCAACCCTTCAGCAGTTCGGATGATAATCCAGCCTTGCAGCCTGCCCGCTCTCTTCGTAACACCATGATGATGATGATGCTGGCTATGTGCCGCGCATTTCCAAATATTGTTCTGGATTGCGCTTATTTCCAGTTGACTGCTGTGACAAATCTGGCGCGTTGGCGCTGCGCTGTCAGCCATCTCTTGCAAGGTTCAAACCAACAACAAACCTCACACCCAAACCGCCAAACCGCTCTTGAGGCGTAGAAGCTGGTTAACGCTGAATTGTGTCCTCCCTGACAAAATATTGCGCAGCGAAGGTCTGTAGAGCAGCATGACCTGAGAGGCATACATCCCGGCAATAAACTGAGGCTGCGCAAAGCCAGCGGTAGAGACTAACTCCAAAGAGCACATCCCACCCCTACACGCACAAAAAAAGATTCTGCAAACGTCTACGGTGCTGCCACTGAGGACCCGATTCAGGGTCATTACTTACATACCCCAAAAGGAACATACCTCACACATTCACATTTACAACTGCTGATGTTGCGGCATGTTGTCCAAAGCACCTTAGACTGATGCCTTTCGAAAGGCAGAAAGCAATGCCAAGTTCAGAGCCTTTGTTGCCAAAGAAGACTGCGATTTGGCCTGGACCCGAAGGAGGATGAGACATGCTCGATTGGCGCAGCTTTGAAGGATGCAATCACACACATGCTAACTTGCCTTCAAGTCCGGTGTACTCTGCTTTCAAGCCGACCTGACAGACAGGAGACATATGAGCAGCTCTCGGTTGGCACTTGGATCGTCCAAGATGGCTAGATGGCTTCAATGTTTAGATTGCCCTGTGATCCCTCTTGAATCAGGGAGCAGAACCCTTCCTAAGTCAAATGGCCAGCAGAGGTCCGGCACTGCTCACATGAAGCCTGGGCACCACTCTAGCCGCAGGCCTGCAGAAGTTCATCCTCATACAGCACAGCATCATTCAGCAGGCAAAGACGCCTTGCAAGAAACTGGGGATCGTGTCAATCTTTCTCTCTCTGTCTCTCCCTCTCTCGCTCTATCTCTCTCTCTCTCTATTGCTCCCTCTCTCTCTCTCTCTCTCCCTGTACAAGCCTGAATCGCTCAGCATTTGTGTCGCTCTCTGCAAATGGTGTATGCCTCATATCAGCGTGCACAGAGACAAGCTTTGCTCAGATTGACTTGAGATCACCACGCTGTTGTGCTTGCGACAGTGCGCGGAGGCGAAATCAATTGAGCATCGCCAAAACTGCCAGGTCAGATGCTGGCAAGACTCAAAGGTATTGCCTTCCTGCCTTGACCCAAGACCTGAGAAGTCGTTGCCCTGCAATCCAGCTATCACGTTGATGGCGCAGATGTTTTAACCTTGACCCTACCACTTCTTGCCTTTGAATACCCATTTCGAGCATCAGCACGCAAGTCTGCTTCAAAGCCTGCGCCCATCAATATGCAAGCCACATCTCTCTCTCTCTCTCTCCCATGCAAGGCAATGCTTGGCATCGGTTCCTGCTCCGTCTCCACTTGCCGGAATACTTCCTTGCAAGGACTAAGTATGTCTGGTTGGATTGCACGTACAAACATGTGCAATCACAAACAACTGTCCTAAACCAGTGCCCAGCAAATGCTGCAACTGTCTTACCTGGAGAATGATGCACAGGCATGTGTTTTCGCGCCGCATAGTCTTGCTGGCTTTACTCGGGTTCAAGCCAAGCTGTCAAGGTCTCTAGAAAACGGAGCGTGCTACCTCCAGAAAACAGTAAGATCCCAACACAAATCTCTTTTGGAAAAGGCGCCCTTTACTTTCATGACGTTCAAGCTCATCTCTGACTGGCCTGCGATCTGTACGCAAATACATGCAGGTCAAAAAAACACATGCAAATACATGCAACACCCTGGGTCTGTCACTTCTTGCTGTGCTTCTGCATAGCGTGCAGACACTTCGGCCAGTCGCTTCTCCTACATCACTGACAACGGCTAATGGCACCGCAGTTTGAACCGCATTTTGCACTGCATTCTCGCTACATCCTCAAATCCTTGCCATTTTCCCGACAGCACATGCATGCATGCGTCCACCACGTGTGCAAGCTCCTGATCTGCAAGCTTATCTTCAACAGCCGTCAAGGTATCGGCAAGCTTGGACGCTCTGACATTTTCCTTCGCAAGCATTGACCTTTTGCGCAGTGCATGTATTTGCAAAACAGCAGGTTTGCCTTCATCCACATGTCTTTGGCATGCCCCAGGAGTTGCTCGCGATCCTGGATCGCTCTGGCATTTGGTTGACTGCATACATCTTCAAGCTCGCCTTGAGCTTCAGTTCCAGCTGTTCAACTTTGAGCTTGTTGGCCCGACCAGCCTGGGTTCACACTTGGACGCGCCAATAAAATGAGTCGTGGACAAGCCTCCTTTTCTTCCCTAAGCTCATGCTCTGCTGCCTGCCGGTCATCTCAAAGCAGATTTGTTGGCACTGCGACATCCGCCTCCAGTCGTTGGCTAAGATGTGAGCAGCGTGACTCCATCGCCTGGCCGCATGAAATATTTGGTATTTCGAGAGCCCAGGCATGCTGTGGGTTTGCGTGGAGTTTCGATGTCTGTGTGTGTGATATCCGCCGACATAAGGAATGCAGTTTTCCTCCTTACCTGCTACCTCCCGGACTGTGGGGGGGGTGGAGACTGTTCCATTTTTGTTGCTGGACACGTGCGTGTGAATTTCGAGGTTCAAATCAGCATCCTCAACATCGCTCTTGCATCCTCAGCATCACCAGAATTACACCCAGGAAACATAAGAAACGGGGTCAAATGAAAGGGCTGCTTGTCTTGTAGAGACATTTCCCAAATGACAGAGGAAATTGCAAACCAAAAACTACAGGCATCCCCAGCTGGGGAAACCATGAACAAACAGACTCAAACCCAAGGTCTCTACTCAAGTCCTGCGGGGACCTTTCTAAAGGACAGAGTGCAAACAACGGAAAAAATCAAGGGCCTTCCGCACACAAACAAGAGAAGCTGCAATCAAAAACTACACGCATCGTGAAGGGGGGTTCTCAAGAGAAGAGGAAATGTCAAACAACAAGCATACAGGTCCCCAGGCAGGGGAAAGAATGTATACAAGCAAGGCAAACTAAAGGCCCTACTCAAGTCCTGCAGGTGCCTTCTAAAGGAACGAAAGTAAACGAAACACCAAGACACGTCAGCAGAGCAGAGCTGATTACATCAGGCTTCCATCAAACACTGCTTCTTAACCACTTCCATGGCTTCATGCGCTGCACGCGTGAAACCTGTAAGAAAACGAATTGCTCCCGCACCCATCCCTGCTCATTGCACACGCAGCCGGCTGTCCTGCGGCAAAGAAACATGAAAAACGAGGTCAAACAAAAGGTCCCTTCCGTGCACATGTGCTGTACCTGTGAGACGTATATAAGAAAGCAGGCCTGTAATGTCGGGGGTCTGAGCCGGAGGCATTAAAAGTATATTACTTTGGTGTGAACTCTCTTTGCTGACTTAGGCGCAGAACAAATGGTGTTTGCACCTTCCCATGTGCACAGCATGCATCACCATGAACCATTACCAATTTGGCTCTACCACTTTTCCTGAAACGAAAGCGTGTAGTTGGGTAGTCTAATTGATTTAACAATGGGAATTATTGCTCTTTCATGGCGGTGCAGCAAGGCTTGAGCAACAACTTGCACTCTGCTTACTACTGCGCTCAGCACCCACATAAGCAATCCAGTTCTTCTCAATGTAGCAAGATGCAAATACGCCAAAGCCAGCTTGGCCACCAGGCAACCACCTGAGCCTACTGCCAGCCTCTAAATCTGGGGCTCCGCGAGTTAACATGGCTGGCGCCTCCTAAGCAAAACTATTTGACTCAATTTGGCCAATGAAATGGAGCTCGTGGAAAACACTAAGCTTGCAGCTCCGAAACCTGGCAAGCTGGACAAGGTCAATGCACTCCGCCCCAGACCGGGTACACGGCTAAAGCTTCAGGGAGCCTCCAACAGCAGTTCGGGCAATTTGACGCTCGAGTTGAGCTATACCTCTCCAGTCATGTGGCTGTGAAGCTAAGAAACAGAAACAAAGGAAGGAGGAATTCATGGCGCACGCTCCAGCAACTCCACATTCGACAAATTTTCCCGTCCTGCAAGGCAGGATACATCCTAACCACCAAATTACACCAATGTGCGGTGTCCTGTCGGGTCAATGCCACCCCTAAAGGCATGTTGCCAAGAACTGTATGTGACAATCACGCAAACTCAGCGTGCATCGAGAACAGCTGAGCACGAAGCCCAAGGTCCTGTCCGGCAAGGCTCACAACATGTCAATATTTGGACTTCAAGCCGGACGGTATTGACAAAGCTGTCAAGTGGGTTGAATTTATTGCCCTGAGTCCATTGAAAACGTCGCCACCCCTGCAACTGCCTGTGAGCTGAACGGAGTTGGGTCTGCTGCACCGCAGCCGCTGCCAAAGTGCGTGGTCTGGCCCCAAGCTCTTTCGGGCTATCGTAATATCATGGCGGCTTCAGCGACAACGATCATTGCCACGTAACATTGCAAGTTCGGCCTAAATGGCCAACAGGCCATCTCTTCACGCGCAAATCCAGTGAAACCGCAGTTTCTCGGCAAAGTTTGCGTGTGAGAACCTTTGACACATTGCTTTAGGCAATGATTGGTTGCTGGATGAGGAATATGGGAGTGCCCAATGTGTCTGTGAACTGACTCAGATCCTTGCAGAATGGCATATGAGAATCGACTCCAACAAATCTCGGGCCTCAGGTACGACTACTTTTCAGAGATTCTGGGCTTTGCGGGATCCGGATGGTGTTCCAGTTGCTCCTGCTGCAAATCAGCAAGTTCCGCAATAAACCACTGGTGCCTGACACTCTTTCCAAGCGGGTTCTACAAGGGTGCGCGCTGCAAATGTGTACGTTGGACTGCACATCCAGTACGGACAAGTACGAACAAGAACTCATGTTGAGAGGCGCTTGGCCTTTGGCCCTCAACTCTGTATCTTAAGCGCGGAAAGATGCAGTTGTGAAAGGCCGAGGTCCGTAAAGCTATTGGCAGTTGGAAACAAACAGTTAGTGCGGCCTGCCATTTCCGAGTTGAGGAATTGCAGGGACTGTTGCTGTTTGTCCTGGTGCAGGCGGTTTCCGATGGGCTAGCAACATGTTGCATTGCGTGAGCACAACCTGCCGCAGTACTGACCCTTTATTGCCTGTCCCATGTATGTGGATATGGATGGAACCTTGACAAACATAATGAGATCCTTGAGCCTTTATGTAAGCAGAGGGGGCATCGCCATCGACGCGGATCACAAACGCCTTCTTGAATGTTGAGCGAGGTTGCACCTTCAAACTCCTGAGGAGACCTCACGCTAACAAAGCAGTGTAGATACAGGATAAAGTGCTGGGTCAGGAATGTGTGTCCTCCTTCCGAATCTTTCTCACAGCCAAAGGCACTGAGGGTCCACATGTTGGGCTCAAGATCTAGGCGTTGCAAAAACCTGTGTCGGTTTATTTTCTTGCTTTTGCTGCCAACTAACACTAGGGCTCAGGAGGGGGCTGAAATAGGCAGGCAGGGTTCGGCTGGCAGATTTGGCTCATCTTTGTGTTGAGTATTTTTTAAATATGGAGGTGAAAGGAGCTCTAGACTCTACTAGATTTGCAAGCGCGCGTTGTCGTCGGATTCTCCATAGGTACACGCACTGCTCAACAACATTATGCACCGCGTGCGGGCGCCCAAAGCAAACAAGCAGCAAAATAAACATGCGCCTCCCTGCGCCTTCTATTTTTGCAATTTGCTTTGACGCCCGAAGTACTTGGCACATGTCCATGGGAATGGTCGAGCCGAAAAAGCGAAATTCCGCCTCTGGCTCGAGGTTTGCTACCGAGATGCGTTCTGCCTTGCCCAAGCTGTTTGCCGTGCACATGGAATACATTGTCAACTTGAAATTCCAAAGACACTGAAGCCCAGTCAGCTTCAAACCACTTGAAGGCCAGGATGGGGGGGGAAGGCGAAATTCGAGGAGTAGATTTACACAGATGAACATATGGGTGAAGATGGAATTGGTGGCGAAAAAATTAGCGAAGCCGTAAATGAGTCGAACATTAAAATTGAGGCGACGCTAACATCTGAAGACCGAAAGGAGGCGAAGACCAATTACCGAAGACAAAAGCCAGGCACAGACAAGTGCTAAGAAAGCAAAAAATGAAAACACCGGTCTTTGAGAAGAAAAACAAGTGGTGCCCCAAACGCAGTATCCTGATGTTTTGTCAACATGTCGGGAGTGGAGGCAAATGAAATTGAAATGTCAGTGATATTTTCAAGCAACCACTCCTCTACAGCTCATGGTCCTTCTTCACAGTCATCTATAGGGATCTTTCTGGGCGAATGCCAGAAACGGTGAACTTCATATGAGATGTTCTTCACCAGGAAGGTGAAAACACATGAACCATGCCATGTCGGTGTACAACCGGGCTCGCTGTGAATCAAAGCTTTCTCATCGGACGGATTGTCCTGTGTGGGATCATCTTGCCGTGTTGTCAGGTCCTGAAAAGGTGATCGGAAGAAGAGGTGGTCCATCTGATGATGGTGCAGGTATTGGAGGTTTCGCATCTGTTGGGCTATTCTTGTCTTTGTCCTCTTTATGTTTCTTGTTCGATGCGCCTTCTTCTAGCATTTCATCTTCTGGAACTGGTGGTTGTGAAAGTTGTGTCGGTTGGGGCGGAGGCACGACAACGGTTGCCTTGGACGGGTGATTGCTCTAATACAGGCATGGCCTGTTGCATTGGAACATCGGGCGGTGTTGGTGGGTCTGGATTTGGCCAGATGGATCATTGCCACCGTTGGTGTGATCGCCAGGATCGATCGGCATTGGCCGAATCGTTTGGTCATGCGAGTTTGTGAAAACACAAGCACGCGCTTGTGTGGTGTGTGAGGTACACAAATACCTGAGTCGTCTTGCGCCGGTGTTGACGTCGCTGATTCTGGAACCTGAGGTGTTTGACACGTTTAGGTCAAGCTCAATTCCTTGACCCTCGCCCCCAATGAGCAGGAAACAAATAGTCCAGCATAGTTTCCATCGAGTGACTCAAGCACCGGCTGAACCAGCGAGATCTATGGGACACCCGAATTCAGCTTGATCTTTCTGATGCGCCCAGAAGATGGTGGAACATAACGGGTCCGGCGCTTGCAGGTGCACTTCTGTGAACTAGGCAAGCACCTTCAGAAGTCCAACGCCATACGCAGACACTAGATGCTTTTGATCTCGAGGGAGAAAGTGATTATCTCGGCCTCCAGGAAGACCCGCAGCGTCGTTTCATATCAAAGCTGAACTCCTGCAGTTCGTCAATGGAAGCATTCTGATGGACGTTGGTGCACCAGCCGTTCCTCCCACGCTTCTCGCACTGGAGGCGTGGCCAACAAAAAGCAATTGCTTTTGTCTTCTGAACCAACTTGGAAATGCTTCCGAGGCTTGGTCCTGATTTCATTTCAATCACGTCATCTCCAGTCATGAGAAGATCGTCTACATGAAGTCCAGATGCTTCACACTGCAACAAAAATAGGTCGTCACAGGAAACATGTCATTTTTCCGGCCGAAGAACGTGACCCTCAAACAACACCCAGCTCTCCTTAGTTGCACGAGCAACATCGACAAACATCAAACACACCCCCTGCTATCTCTAGCACATTGACGCCGAAAGCACGATCAAGACACCAAAATTTGGAACACTGAAGAAACCAAACGAACGCGTCTCTGGCATGCGCTCCTACTCAGTTCATGCCCAAGTTTCATGATGATCGCTTGCCAGCTTGATTGGACTGGTCTATTGCGTCTACTGGCCTGTTCCAAGGCTTGAACGGCGCCTTTGCATCTGAGGCACCAAGGCCAGGCTGCTGATTCAGCATTGTTCCAGGTTTCGAGATAGCTTGCCACTTGGTCCACTCCTTGCCGTAAGGAGTTGCTACCAGGCCCCTCAAAGCTTATGTATCCTGAGAACTCGTTGCGCGTGCAAAGCTGATACGTGGCAGCTTCACAAGCCGAAAATGCCTTGCCGTGAGCAGTGATACTCCAGGTCTGTTCAGAATTGAGGTATGCTAGCTGCTAGCTGTGACATTGTCTGCGTTGCGAAAGTGACAATCAAACTTCCAATCCCACCTCAGGCAGCGTGGCTGGAGGTGGCGGGACCTCATGGCCCAATTGGCCATGCGGAAGCCCAAAGCATTCGCGCTGAGTTCCGCACAGCATCGCCTGAACTGGCACGGGCAACGAGTTTACCGTCCTGAGATTGCGCGGCACTGCGCAGAAATTACGCAGATGTGGACGCTTCGCATCAGAAATTTGAGAGCCGGGGCCCCCACCACGCTCAAAGAGGCATTTGCAGCAAACCTGATATGTTGCTAGTCGGATTGCCAGTTGTACAAGTCGTGGCGGGTTCACAGCGCTGTCCGCGGCAAGCGGAAACAACAGCGCCTGCCAAATTCACCACACCGCAGGTCGCTGGTTGGGTCCTGACATGGAAAAAGGGCTGCGCGAAGCCTGAAGCGTAGAACTCGAGCACACCTGCACGTAAGGGACTCAACTGCCACGTCGCTGTCCTGCAGCTGGCGCTGCAGCTCTCCACAAACCTAGCACCCAAAAGCCGTAAGCCGTTGGACTATTCCATTGGCTACCAGGTATACATAATAGCGCCCTTTTTCTGATTTTTCAGCAAGAAAGTGCTCTCCCCGCTGGTGAACATATATTCGGGGTGTGGCGGACCAATTTACAAACTGTGCTTCACTTGGCCATCGAATTTCAGGCGCTGTTAATGATACATAATACAAGCAATGCGATCAACGAGCCGCATATGCGTTTTCACTCCAGGCCTAAAGGGGTCTGCATCCAAAACTCAATAGGACCAACTTTTGCCCTGTTGTAGGCGCTCGCCGTGAGCAAACAGCAGAGTGTATGCCGAACATGGCCAGACCTGCGATGCTGTGCGATCAGAAGGCCCATCTTCAGGAAGAACCTTCAGCAGGTTAAGCGGCTTAACCACGCTGCAAGATACGTCCGAAAAATATTTTCTCTGCTGCAGGCCTCGAAGTCTATGATGATGCTGGACATCAAGGCATCAGTACATAAAGCGCATTGTATCTGCCCTCGACTGCTGCTAAAAGTCAAGAAAATTACGTGTGTGTGTGACAAAGTATCTGTGTGGGCATGTGAGTGTGTGTGTGTGAGAGAGATCGCCTGAAAACACATCAACATCATCAAATTAGTCATGCGATGATTCCGTGACGCAGGCTGCTGCATGACTCTGGCCGGAAAACATTTGCCTTGGATGCTGCGTGATGGGCTGCTGTGTGGATATCATTCGGCATGCACCCGTCTGACCACTGTGTGATTGGCCGTGTCACCATTGCTTAAAGGAACTGCATCGTAATATCGGATCATCCAATGTTTGCTTTGAATGATGACACGTTTTATGCCGACCCTAAAGTCTAACTTCACAACACATTCCCCCCATACGGGACAAAGACTGGCCAGGAACGGCTCTTCGAATGCATTGAAGATCGCCTAAGCATCCAAACTCTAGCCAGCACCCAAACGCCATGCGACCACAATTTCGTTTCTACAGACAAGAAAAATATGGGTGTGTCTTTTCCTAGGGGACGCCCAAAATGATGGTGTGTCCTCTTTTAGATTCCTTTTAACACCAACCCAAAACGGGCACCCTCAAACAAAGACAGGCTCACATAGGAACAATGCCGCGGCATGTTTTCGCGCATGAGACTTTGGGCACGTGCAGTTTGCCCAACTTGGTTTTTGGCCGGCCTCTCCTTTGGGCCAAACTTTCGGATTGCCTCGATCACTCTCGGGTCCCATGGTCGCCACCAGAGCTCCCTTGAGTTGGGGGGTAGACTCGGTAGACAGCCTGGCCAGGCGACTCGAAAATAAGCTCAAGAGATCTGCACAAAGATCTCTTGCATCTAGGTCCTCCAGTAGAGGGGTTATAATGAGGGTACCCGATTTGTCTGTAGTCTATTTTAGGGGACCCCTCCCCAAACAAAGAGTAAAAAAGGGCACTACTGGCAAACCTAGGCACGCACGCAAGCACGCACGCAAGCACGCACGCAAGCACGCAAGCACGCACGCACACACGCACCCCCCGCCCGCCCCCGCCCCCGCCCCCGCCCGCCCCCGCCCCCGCCCGCCCCCGCCCGCCCCCGCCC